CAAATCACTTCCGCATTGCGTCATACATTATTTAAATGAGCTATGGTAATTTGATCACGTTGGCATCATCCAGCATTTTGATTGGTTAATTAACGACTTGACCTATCAGGTCAAAAAACGCGTTGCAGGTCAAGTCCTAGACAGGAAGCATGGCAGACATCGAATCGCGCCGAGCGTTTACATGCGACCAGAATCATTTGCTTACGATGAAATTAAGTTGAATTTTACTTGCATTTTATTTTTTGTACGTTATTATAACTACTACTGAGTAATAATCGTAACCGTGGAATGCAGCATGACCGGATTTTGCTACCGTGATCATTGACTACTAAGCGTTGAATTTGTGTTTGTTTTATTTTTCTGTTGATTGTACGGCAAACTGTGAATGTTTTCTAAAGAATGATATTTTTTGTATAACTTTCTAAACTGTCTGAAAACGGGTCATTTACTCAGTATTTAAAATAAAGGCTACAGTGACTAAGCGTCAGACTGTAATGTAAAATATTGTCAATAATCTATCATCAGAATGGAGCAAAAACAATGGCTTGTAACACAATTACCGGTACTAGAACTTGAAGTGCTTGAAATAAGCGCCATTTGAAACAAAGTTGCTCAAATTTAACCACAAATAAGCGCCACCATGACATGAAAGTGTAACAAAGTGGCGCCTAATTGAAGACAAATACGGTAGCTATTGTCTTTTTGCTGAGACCGTCTGATGGAAATGTTGGTGGTCGTTATACAAAGGTTAAAGTGGGAATAGGTCTACAATAGGCTCTGCACAGGTGGTCGTTAACACAGGTTTGACTGTATATAGAATTTTGTTACCTCTTCCTGTGTTGATAGTTGCTGGACTGAAGGCTTTCCATACAATGGTTTCACAGATATTTGTGGCAATAAATAGGGAGATACCAGAGCCAAGACCATAGCCTTTTTGTAAAAGTTCATCCAACAGCAGCACAATAAGACCAGCAACAAATAACTGAAAACCAAGAATAGCATCAAATGAAAACTTATAACTCAAGAGAAATTATTTATCTTAGAAACAATGGAAAACATCCAATGACTAGATTATTTAAAAATACATGGTTAAATTCAGGGAAAACTTGATATGGATTTTGACATGTACAACCAGGAAATGATGTCAGGTGTTTTGAAAAAACGAAACAAAGCATGCTCCTTGTGTTCCACTTGTCATAAATCAACCAGTCGTAATTGAATTGCTCATGAGAATCTATAGAAGAGAGACTGCTTTTTTTTTTTTAAAACTTAGTGGATAAACTTACCTGAATAATGATGAGCAAACAGATTCCAGCACCCAACTCTGATGGCTCACCGTACATACCAGTCATTACGTATACAATAGCTTGACCTATTGTTATCACCATACCAAACACTGTCAAAGAAATTTATAGAAAGTGAGCCTCATGACAATATCTGTGCAGTAGTATCCTATCAGGGTTCTCCACGAGGGGTTTTTACAGGGCGCCGCGCCCTGTTATCTGAAATTGGCGCCCTGTTTAAATTGTCAGCGCCCTGTTATATTTCCTGTGCGCCCTGCATGGTCCCAGACAAAGAATTGTTTACAAAACGGGCCAACACTCATCGTCTTCCGAAGATGATTCATCGTGCTCAGGGTAACTGGTTCATTGTTTTAAGGTGCAACTGTGAAAATTCCGGTTTGTTATCGTAGCAGGTCACCGTGAGGTGATAACACCACCAAACAAAAAGTTACAAGTTTTTTCAACACTATTAAAAATGAACATGTGGCCCAGACAA